AGAATGTTTTTCCTTTACAAGAAGTAACCATTTTCTTCAACATCACACGTTCCTCTGATATTACTCAGGCTTCTCAGGAGCTGTGCTGTAGTGCTGTGCTTAAATCCCACAATTTTTTCCATTATAGTGTCTGCAATATGCAGTTTCTTTCTACCTTGTGAAATGCCTACTATATCTCAAAATTATGTCTTTTTTCCTCTCTAAACTTGAAAAAAGGAAGGAGATTCATTGAAAATTCTGCTGGAAAGACTGATTTTCTCATTCTTGTCTTTGATAGACTCATCCTTTTCTGTGCATCAACACACGGCCTCCCTGTTCTTCAACCCCTACAGGGCAGTGTCCTGCTCTTCCCACTCAGGCTTCCTTCCACATTGTTTCTCCTACTCATCTCTGTGGATCAGGTTTAAGATCTTGCCTCCGCTTCCTGTAGCATTGAGATTCTAGCATCTATCATCCACCTGTTAGCATTTTGGAATACGGCTTTCCATGTCTGCTTTTCACATAGTGAAAAGGCTGTAGGTTCTACCTGCAAACCTATGCAAATTTACCATACCATCTGCCTGTAAACCCTTCCTTAAAATTCTCCTGTGCAAAATTTTCTGCAAATCTCTTGAGAGCAGCTAGTTTCTCTCAATGTCTGTCAATCCATCATGTTGATCAAACTAGCTTTACTGTTTCTTGAACTTCTCAGTTTGTAACCCCTCTACTACAAGGGACTTGCTGTATGTACCCTTAAATTTAAAGGATTTGGGGAATTTTTTTTTTTCCTTTTTTTCCATGGTACAGTTCTTAGTACAGCGAAATCTTAACCTATGTCAGAGTTTGCAACTGCTATGGTAAGAAGAATCAATCACTATAATAGAATAGTAGTTATTAATTTAAGAGTATAAAAAATAATATACCATAACCAAACTCAAATTCTTTTATTATTATCAAAACATTACATTTACAACCAGACAACTTTTAGTGTTTTATCAAATTAAAAATCTCTTTATCTATTTAAAAATCTTTTTATTCTTTCAATAAAAATATTACAACAGTACTAAAATCTCGGCAGAGTTTCTGTACTTGAATATTGCAAACAGTGGAGAATACACGTTGGTATAAATGTCACTGGATAGCACATGAAGAAGACATGCTTTCTTCCACTTCCTTTGGTACAGGCCTTAGTCAGACAAAAAGGCCATGAATGGCTATGGAAGTTGCTGCTGGTGTTATTATGGTAGGAATTCTAAAAGCATTTTACATTTATGCAAAGGAGAGATCAAGTTATCTAATTATCTAAGAAGAAAGATATAACTAATTGTAAATTTTTAGTGGATATATGACTAGAGAAGAAACACTGTTTTTCCAGATTAGGCTATTTTTTTTCCTACTATACCTCACCCTGAACATACTCTTTAAATTGTGCAACCCTCTGGGTCCCTATAGATATTAGGCTGATGCTTTATGTAGAAGCCCCCTTGCTCAACCTCCACCTTCCAGGATAATCTAGACACAGCAGCAGCAGTCTAACAGGATGTTCCTTCATCAGTGGTGCTGTCAGAAAGAGCCGCTGTGTGACCTCAACATTTGGGTAAAATGCCCCCATAAATAAACAATAAAATAATTTGTGATTAATCTACTACAGTTCTAATGCTTCTCCAGTTCAGGTCAGAAATGGTGATGACTCCTCAGAGAAAGCAAACAAGGTCGGGGCAAGATGCAGACATCCCATATCTTCATTAGCCTCATTTTAGCAGATCAAAAAGATTCTGAGTCTAGAGAGTTAGATCAAGTAGTAATCCATGAGGACAGTCCTTATTCAGAGTAATCTAAGTTTTTAAGGTCCTTGGGCTTTTCAGTGTCATTTTAGATTCTGGAGAAGAGACATACCACTCTAGGGAAACTGTTCAGAGCTTCCCCAGGGCTCCAGTCCCCTCATGCTGCTCAGGTCAGGTATGGCCTATGGCAGAGTTAGGGGATGAAGTGGTCAACACTTATGACTTTATATATTGAAGGGAAGCATGAAGGAATGATTTAACAGATGTATTTGTGCCTGCAGAAATTTATGGGCATGTTGATATTCTGTGCCAGGACTTTTGAGCTGCTGGCTTATATCCTTGCCAAAAGTCATGGAGCTCAGATTTACACGGAGTATATTTGTCATTAGGGTTGGTATTCATCAAATGTAACCTTGGTATCTTGTATTACTAAATGTCTCAATGCGAGTTGTTTTAATTTTTTCCAGAGATAACTCTGGATTTGTCTTTGAAGCACTCAACATTCAATCCCCCTCTCCTGTTTTGCCTTTGCTCAACTCCCAGCTGTGTTAAGTGTGATTGGTGACATTTCTAAAGAAAGGAATCATGACCAAAAGTTGCCTCACTGTCGGTGTCCATACTGTTATGGTATGGAGGTGATTTTTTTTTTTTTATTTGAAATATCACAAATGTTTTGTCTTCATCTCACACCACTATGTGATGCCTGCAACTTGAAGGGCTGGCCTCTACAAGCCCCTGGCATATGGGTTTTATGCATTACAGTCTGTAAAGGAGATACCACTTGCAAAGATTTACAGTGTGCCAGGACTGTGTGCCAGATGGTAAAAGCCATATGAGTTGCAGAGCTCTTAAGAGATTTTTTTTTTAGTTTGTTTTTGTTTATCATAGAGAATACACTTCTGGGTTCATAAAGTTTCAGCATGTTCTGCCTACTGCGTCATGGAGAAAAATATTAACTCCATCTCGAATCCAGGCCACCGGGTGTTATAAAAATAGTATTTAAAAAAGGAGGTAGGCTGGCCATTTCCTGGGACAGAAAAAACAGTTGGTTTAAAATACATTCTTGCTATTTTGATACTAAAATGGATTGTTACTGCTGTTATTCTCTGAAATGATTTGTTCAGAAGATTAACCAGAGTTCTTTGAAAGAAGTATATTTAAACACTCTGCTTATCCTGCTCACCCAGAAAGGCAATTTTCTTGCTGTAAAGAATTACTCACACTTGGGTTGGAGCGTATGTTCACACAGTATCACGGAGGGGCTTCCCCTGTCACAAAGACAAACAACTGGTGTGATTTAGAAAGCCCCCGCGCGGTTTGAGGTTGCAGGCCAGGGGGACGCCAAGTGTAACTCATGGGACGCTCCGGACTAGCAAGAACTCCAGAGTTCAAGACAGATCTGTTGCAATAGCAAGGACACACAGCTCCGAGGCATTTAACGGGACCCGGGGCTCGGTGGGCGCGGGCTGGGGCAGGTGCCGCGGCAGTGCCCCGAGGTGCCGCCAGGTGTCGCCCGCTCGGGCGGGCGGGGCACAGCGGCGGCGGGGGGCGCCGGGCAGCGCTGGGGTTGGGGCGGGGGCAGAGCCGCCTCCGCCGCCGCCGTGTCTTCCTGTTTATTGTACTTCAAATAGCTGACCTTGGGACAGACGCGGCCCCGCTCCGAGCGGCAGCGCTCCCGGCCCGCCGCTGCGTTATCAGCCGTTTGTTTAGCTGGGTGGGAAGCCGAGCCCCGCCTGCCCGGGCCGGGGTTTTTCCATCAGCCCCGCTGGATTTTTCTAGGCGCTTCGTAGCAAAGTCTCTTGACGCGCGGGGTATGCCCTGGTTTTAGAATTTATATCCCCGGTGCTCCGTTAGGGAGCGCAGTGCCACGAACGCGATCGGAGCGGGCTCCGAGCTACACCCAGAATGCCGCAAGTTTATATGAAAATGAGGTAATCGCAGGTTCAGCATAAACATCTATATTAAAACCCCCACTTTATGCTCTGAATCTGACTAAAACTCTCTTCAGCTAGACTACAGCTACTGTTGACATACAGGCTATGGACGCGATCCAGGAAAACGAGATATTTTGAGACCGGTGAAGGGCACCTAAAGTTTGTGTTGCTTACTGGTAAAATTATTCATTTTTGTTGAAACCTGCAATTCTTGGCTGAACCGTGCTGTGATAAATAGAGGTAAAACATGGTTGGCTTGACTATTGATAGTAAGCTGCATACTGCTTTGTGTGAGTGAGAGATCAGTGCTGCTTGTGGAGGCGTCCCAGTCTAATCCCTGCCGTAGACGAAATTGACAGCACAACCACATGGCGTGCTCGGCAGATGAACTGCATGAATGCTTTAGATTTATATGAGTAAATTCGAAGTGTAAATTGGTAGCAGGAATTCTGTTGTAACCACCAAAAATAACCACCCCTTATGCCAGTTCTCTTCCATGTTTCCTGATACATCTTTGTTTTCTTTCCCTTTATGTTTGGTTTTTTTTTTTTGTTTTGTTTTGTTGGTTTTTTTTGTTTTTGCTTATCGAGCTGACCCAGTCTTGTTTTCAGGCACCTGGGCCTAAGACAGTTCAATGGACATGGCCATTTATGCTCATAATGCCGTGACAAGCCTCATTTTACTCTTAGTTATTTGGAACCAGTTTGCTAACTTAAATGTGCCATTTTACATACTTTCGTGATTTTTTTTTTTCCTTTTTCTATTCCTTTTCTATGCAGTAGTTCAAAAATTTACCTTCAAACAACAAATACTACACAGGCCAAAAGATTAGGTGTTGAGGAGCTTCCAGTCAGACCCAAACTTGCAGCTGCTGATAGAAAGTGTGAAGCCAATTTTTGATACAGCTCTGCATGCAGTTTGCATGTGGGACAGGCATATATGTGAATGAATTATCACACAGAAGCCCTTTACAACCAAGCAAGCAGATGCATTCCAAAAGGGAACAGATCCATAAACAGGGAAAGCAAGTTTATAGAGAATAGTCCTTACCAAACAGATCAGGCTGGGGTTTTTCTTAATAGAAAAAACTTTGGAGCTGTTTTTCAGAAGTTTGTGCAGCTGTTAGTTTAGTTGGATAAAAGGAGGTTTTGGCTTTCAGTGTAAGGTAAATATTTTCAGGGATCAAGGAGGTGGAAAATGGGGGCAAGGGGATGTGTATGTTAAGAGCTCAGCTCTACTCAGCTCTGAGTGGGCTGTTATCTAAGCAGGTATTGTGTCTATGTTTGTGTCTACCACACAACTAATACCCTACCAATGAATGAAAATATGTATCAACTTACGTTTTGGATAATGTGAGTAAAACATATCCAGAAAGCAAACCTTAGAAGTTTTTATTTTCATGGTCTCATTTCTCCCTCATGACTTCAAGAGGTACCGTGTCTAGCCTGATGTCTTGGCACGCTCTTATCCAGACAGAAATGCTTTGAACTTCATTTGGAGGGATTCTGGTTAACCACTAGGTAGAGGTTGAGAAATTCTTTATTCATGTGGAGATGAGCCCTCAGTTGTACTCAGAGATTTGTCTTAAAAGCAGATAGAAGGATCTGTTGAGTGTTTTAACTGTCTTCAGTTTTGAGAAGAGGATTTTGGGATCTAGCCACAAACATTCATAAAACAGAGACACCTCTCAAGCAACAGCCAGAAGCAAGTGCCTAAACCTGAATGCATCTTGCGAGGTGAGGGATGGAGGCCTCTCACAGCTCTTTCCTACCTCTGGCCTGAAGTGACACTGCTTCACCATACTGTAACTGTCCTTGGTTACAGGCAGCCAAGCTTCCAAGAATGGAATAGGAGGGAAGTTGTAGAACCCCTAAGTGCATTCAGGCCCTGATCGACTTCAGCCATCATGTCTTTATTGAACACAAGAATCAAAATAACTGCCCTGAGATTTTTACACTGTTCCTTGATGTTTTTTTTATACACAGCTAGGAGAATGAGATGTAACTTGTCCCTGGCACAGAAGAGGAATAAAGCATGACACTCTCATGTAGACCACAAAGGCCTCACACGGCTTTAAGCCTGAAATCTGATGGTTCATTTACAATCAGATTGCAAGGACCGTCGCAGCTTCCTGCTTGAACTAAACACTTTGTCCGCATCCCCATGCTTTTTGTCCTTACTTTCATGAGTCCTTGAGAGTTCTTGGTTCCTCTGTCAGTCCTTGTGGCAGCCACCTTCTCTCCACCAAGAGCTTTCATTTGTTAGTCTCTGGTACAGATGTCACTAAGCTTCGTCTTGTGCTGCTCTGTATTTATGGAAACCCTCTCGAAATTATTTGGAGAGCTACTCATGCTCTCTTCCTTCAGATCTTCTGCCTTATGATTCCTCCTAAGGAGGATGCATTTAGAAAATTGTCCAATTACTCTAATGATGGCTAACCTGAGGGGAAGCTAGGAAGAAGGTGGGGCTTTTTTAGGTATTGTAATATTTAAATGATAATTATATGTTTCTAAAATGGTTTGAACTTTAGATTCTATTTTTTTCACCAATCACTCCATTTCATAATTTGTATTAGTTCTTTATGTGCAATCTCCATTTAATTTGGTCTTATAATAATTTTCCTTCACTAAATAAAAGAGCTGATTAAGAACATCTTACTGGTGCCTCTGATTCAGAAAAATAGACAAATATGTCTTAAACATCTTTGTTGAACTGGAACCAAAATTACTAGTGCTACTTGTAGTATAATTTTTGCCTGTATGATTTTGTTACATTTTCTTAATTGCAAAAGATTATTTCTTTCTCTGCCAGGGATTTGAGCAATGACAGTATATGACCCATCAGGTTAAGCTATGAGACAGTCTTTTTGCACTTTCATGGAAATTTTATTTTTCCTGTTTGCCTTAATTTAAACATCATCACTGATTTTTCATGAGCAAGAAAAAAGGTCACTGACAGATGACAATAGTTAGTAGGTTCTACCTAACGTTAAGATGTCCAACCTGCCAGCAGCCTAGTATTTCTTTAAACAAATATGCCAGAGGTCTTACATCCAGAACTGGAAGACTTCAAGTACTCCTAAAGAATGGATGAGAGGGCAATGAAAGAGGGTCACAGGTTAATGCACAGAATTACTTTGAATAAGTAGGCTTTTGAAAGAGCAGTCTCAGAAAATATGGTCCTTCATGAGAATGCAGTGTGAAGCTTTAATAATTGCTCTGGATGGAAAAGTGACAGAAAATGAATAGGATTGAAATTCTTCATGTTGTCACAGGACACATAAATGAGACAAAGACTACGTCTGGATTTTGCAGAGATTAACATTCAGTCATATACTTATCTATAGCTGGTACTTGTGCCAGCACATAGCTTTGTTGACTGGCTAGAATATCAAAAACTCATGGAGTTTATTGGTTGTTTGTGGATTATCTGAAGAAACTGTTTGATAACAGTCCGCAATTGTTTTGAAACAATTTCAGACACATTCACTAAAGCATGTTAGAACTACTGCTTATCTTCCAGTATCAAATAGATAAACAAGGCTTTTGTGTGTACATATGAAAAATACTGGAGAAAATGAAGCAGAATTTTATTTGCAAATACAAACTCTGTATCAAAGTCCACCATGCCAGTAACTTTATATGAAGTCTTTTTAGACTTTATGATTTATTGCAGATAGGATTTATTTTGCACAGGAACTAGGTAAATATGGTAGAGGAAATAGAATCTGTAATATATGCCTCCCAGGCATTCTGTATCTGTCAGTAGCATGTGCCTAAAATTACAAAGGATGAAACAATTAGGACAAAGGTATTGTCAAGAAGGTATATTACTGGGAGCATGGCATAGCTGTTTTTGGGAAAAGGGACATAATGAAGAAATATACTGACCAGCTGTTACCAGACAAAAAGGTTTAGGAAGAGCAAAGTGTGCTGAAATTAAAGCTGATGTCCATGCAGTTACTAGGGAAGAAAATGATTATGCTTTTTATTGGCCTGAAGGGGTTGTAAATGAAAATGTTACAGTAGAATGTGAATGTTTTAATACAGATGAAGGGCTGAGAAAGAACAAATGCCAATTCCCCTCCTAACAAGCTACCTTCAGCCATAGGGCAAATACAGAATCAAAGTTATGTATAAACATGTCGTGGGAACCATGTTGGGTGTATGTTACATGTGGCTCTCTTATTTGTGAATCCGTTACAATGAACAATGATTAATACATATATATTATGTATGAATATATAAAACAAAATCCTGATTTAAGAAGACTTTTAGTTATGCTTAATCAGAGCATGTATTTAATTCCCACTGAAGTAAGCTGTGCTTGAATCCTTGCTTGATGTGGGACTTAGGCAGTTACTTTCCTTTTCTGGGCGTCTTAACATTTCTTGAAACTCACATTTTGCAAGAAATGTTACAGAACAGTATTTTCTCATGAAGACTTTGTTATTCCCATTTTCTTTCATCTAAAATAAAAATAACTCATGCTGAAAATGCAGTCTGTGTATACTGGCAATTAAAAACAAATCAGGAAATCACTCTGCTATATTAAATCACACATGCCTAGTTACAATTTAACATGCTGGGGAATGAAACCCAAATTCCACCCTGAAGTATCAAGCACTGCTTTTGTAAACACTAGGTTTCTCATTCAGAGTAACTTTTTTTGTCCCCCATGCTTATACCATTAATGTATGCATCCCAAAATTCCCGTGGAAAGTGAAATTACTGGGTTGCCTACCAGTAAATACATGTGGTTCCTGTTTAAAACGATGTTCCAGGTAACTTAAAATGAGAAATCTTGGAGAGTAGCCAGGTTTGCTTTTTCACATGAAAGCAAGGTATTTTGCAATTGGCTATGCTTCTTTAGTAAAAAGGTGTCAAGAGGAGACATTAAAAAGAGAGGAAGCAGGAGAGAGAAGGAGTTTGTGGGAACCTAACACAGCACACTAGGTCCAAGTTCTGCCTGTTTTTCACTGAAGCAACCCTACTGAAATAACCACTGCTGGAAATAAACCTTGGTTTATAAAGATATTCAGTAAACAAAAAATAACTGGTGTCACAGTACCTCAAAGTGGAGGAGATGCATCAAAGATGATGATGTAGGACATTCGGCCAAGCTTTTTAGCTGTTCTCATCAAAACAAGTTAATTCTCTTGTTTTTCACAGATCTATTTCAACTGCTGTTTCTCTTTCTACACAGTGAGAGAGTATACGGAGTTTATGTAAAATGTTTTCTATGAATAAGCACAGAGTCATGAGGCTGGGATCCAAAGAAAGTGTAGGCAGTTGATGAAGTCTGTTATGGAGAATTAATATTGAAAAGGATAACGATTATTATTAATACTGACTTCTGAGGGAATATTGAAATGGGCCTAAATGTAGGTGGCAAATTCATATGACTGCAATACAATATGGCAGTAAAAAAAGGACAGTGTAATTTGATGCTGCACACAGAGAAGCAGTATCAGAGAGGAAGGAGAGAGCTGCAGTAAGGTGCCAGTGTAAACAGTACCTGGAATTCCCTTTTTAGATTGCTGGCCAGGATGCACTGCCAGATAGGTGGCACGCAAAGAGCAGCAAAACAGCAGGGAAATGTTGAAGATAAAACTACAGTCTTGAGAACGCATTGTTTTGCTGAGGATGGCTGAAGAGAAACATGTTTTGAATACCAAAGAAATGCAAGGATAACAATTAAAGAACATGTGGAACTTCTTAGTATGAGAATAAGAGCCTGGTGTCAGGGGCACTCAGTGACTTTGTTGATCGTACATACATTTTTGTCTGCCTCTATCATTTAGACTAGCTGCTAGATATGATGGGACTGCAGAGAACTATCTCAGGACACTTGTCATTTGTGATACTTACAATTAGCCCCCTCAAAATATTAGAACTATAGCCTGTAGAGGATATGCCTGGAGGCAGAGGGGAGTTATAACAGGTGCCCTTGGAGTCTGTCTCAACCAGGGAAGCTGGCAAGGCAGCTTGTGAGCTGGCGCACCAGTGAAGACCCTTGTTCTTTGGGTGTATCATTCAAGACAGACAGGGCCAAATTGCTGCTCAGGCAGAGTAGGCAGTAGCCAGCAGTAGCAGAGCCAACAGCTTTGCCTATGCCAAAGGGCACGAGGGCTGTTTGTAAGAGGAGAACACGCTGCATAAACAACAAATTCCTGCCTCCTTCTCCTCGTCCTCCTTTGCTCTGTGGCTGAGAAAGGGGTGAGAGTTTGCCAGAAGACAAGCAGCACTAATCCCTGTTTCACAGACACCTGAAGAAAGGTTCACTGCTCCATCTCAGTTTGACCCTCATCCCCAAGGGTCTCTCCAAATTCTCCTGTCCCCACCATCTGCCCCAGTGTCTGCTAGCTGTCTTTGAGTCCTTTCACCCACTGGTGTGCTGAGCCATTTTAGTCTTTTCCCACCAACAACTTC